TTTTTTTCTGGTAGGAGAGGACCGTGTGTGAGTGCAAGACAAGTTTAAAAACAAAAGAAAGAAGGAAATAAACAAAAGTAAATTCTTAATGTTGGTCATAGAAGAAAATGTGAATGATAAAGCCAGTACCCCAATGGTTTTATTAAAATGTGGAGGAGGAAGTGGGGTGAAACAGATGGGCTATTAAGCTTGGAAGCTGTGACGTTTGGAAGCCACCGTTAGGTTTTATTTGAAACTGTGAAAAAAAACCAGCTTGGGAATTGTCTATGGCACTCTTTCATGTCACAGGTCTCATTCTTCTTGTGTTAGGACACTGCAAAGCAAATGGTGGGTACACTGACCAGCTCGGATGATTATACTGGCATGGACCACCTTGAAAATATCTTGACTTCTCCCATTTAGCTCCAGTGTAACTGCAGTTGAAGTTTATATACAGACCCGCTAAAGGCCCACAATCTTTCTGAGATGGTTCTGGGACTGCCCTCCTGCTTTTCAATGTTCCTTCCTTGTGTAGAACTCTGTCCATGACACACTTACAGAGCTGCACAGCATCTTAGAGCTAGAGGGATGACAGCAATGGGAAAGTGAAAGACCAGACAAATGAGGACAGGCAAAGGCTGCTACTCAGAACTTGTATTTGGTAGAGCCTCCCAGGCAGAGCAATAGGAGTCCAAGATGGAAAAGAAGTTAGATTAAATTTGGCCTAAAGCCTCTGTCTCCATAACATCTAGCCCAGTACATAAACAAACTTCCACCTAATGCATGTATATTCCTGTAACAAGTAGCAGTCTTTAGGCCAATCATTATGCAACATGACCTAAAAACTTCCATGAATGATTAGACTTTAAAAAATTAAACTTAAACAAGCTTAAGCTTAAAAAATCGTAACACTTAACACATTGCCATCAATCCCACTCCGACTGCTCTTGTTTCAACACACTTATGTCATTGTTCTTGCCATGTTCTGAAGAAGTCCTAGAAGTTCACTTTCAGGTATTCAGCTGTGTTTGTTGAAGCCTAGATGTCCTCATTTGATTGTAAATGTTTTCCTTCTATGGCTGCTTGGATTTGGGGAGTCAAAAGTTGCTTCATGTCAGATCAGGTGAATAAGGTATGCGAGGACTCATGGTCCTATTTTTATAAAATGTCCTTTCCATTGAATGGCATTTGGCGGGAACATTCATTGTATTTTTTTTTTTATTACATCTGAATTGGCAGCTAAAGCTAGTAGTCTGACCTCCTATAAGTTAGTAGATTGGCTTCCTGGACTGATTCCTGTAGATAATGGGCTAAAGTGCTGTTGTCATATGTGCTTTGACAATGTTTCATTTGTATACGTAGTTTCATATGTGATTATGTAGGTTAAATTAAGAAATATTAAATTAATTCATAAAGGATGAAGAGCAATTGCTCATTCATTGTTATTATTATTTTTATTATTATTTTAATGTATTTGGTTGTTACAGGGGTCTCACTACGGGGCTCAGACTCAATGATCCTCTTGCTTGCAACCTCCCCAGCATTGGAATCATAGGAATGTGCCTCCAGGCCCAGACTTTGGGGCTGCTCAGCCTACCCTGGGGGCAGGGGTGTGCAGCATGTGGTCCTGGGGATCGAACTGTGGTCCCTGCACTTGCCTAAGGTTATCTAAGCAGGAGCTTTAGTCCACTGAGCTATCTCACCGGCCTCGCTATTGCTTGTTTGAATGAGCATTATTTTGCTTTTCTGGCAGTTTATAGTTGCTAAAATATTTTAAAATTTAGAATATAATTAAATTACTGCAATGAGAACAATAAAGTTAGGCAGGGTAGTGTTATCTGTATTTCATACTTAAAAACAATGAGGCTCCCAGGGGAGAAACAAAGCCAGGGTCACTATTCAGGTTTACAAAGGTGAAACAGAGTCCTCTCAGACTGCTGACCTAAGCCGCTGAATCTGCCACAACCTACTCCTTGTCCTCAGAGGCAGATAATGGGAACAAAGAGTGACATTCCCATTGTGACCCTCCTGAAAGCTGCTGAGCGTTTGAACCTGGATGTAAAGAAAACACAAAATTGCAGATTCTTCGAAGCATTTCTGTTTTTCTATATTTCAGTCTTTCCCAACTATTTCATATTTGAATTAAATGTCTAATTTTGTCAGTTTTAAATCTTTGGTTACTAAATGATAAAGAGTTTTCCAAATACTAGCAGCTCAGTGCCACTTTAGTTCATGTATTTTCACTCGTTTCTCTCTTCCATTAGAAATTCTGTACTTTTTACGCACATCCAAAAGAGGTCTCGGGAGTTAAGGAAACTAATAATTAATTAATTAATTTAGTAGACTGACTATTAATATGCTAGGTACTGAAAAGATGACATTTTTGTAAATTCAAAGAAAAATGAAAAGCCCACCACCTTCCTTAAATAACTCAGGGATCTGAGGAAACAGCACATGTGCAGAGGGATGATACAAGGCAGTGTCAGGGCAGAGACAGTGACAGGAGTGAGGAGGCATCCAGGTACACATAAGTGGGCAGAGCCAAGGTGTAGGGGAGGTCGTTGATCAGAGATGAAATGGGAGGACATTTAGAGTAGGGAGGTTGTAGCTGTAGATAACTGCGTTGCCTTTCTTGGGACTGAAGCGTGGAAGCAGAAGCTATCAACTTCAGTACTGGTCCTTGAGTACAGAGATCAAGAGAAAGTAATGAGGTTAGAGTAAAATGGAACAGCGAGCTACGGGAGAAGCTGGGGGCCATGGTAAGGGGCTCAGTCATGGTTCTGAGGTAACCTGAGGTTTTCCTTGAGGGACTTTCATCAGAAATACATTGTGATCAGAGTTACATTTTATAGAGTTGAGCTTGGCTGTTGAAGGAGCTTGTACTGAGGGACTGGGTGAGCCAGAAACCTTTGCTGTAATTCCTGACACGATCAGAGTTTGAAGCAGAGCAGTTTAGGCAGACTTGATACAAAGCAGAAGAGAAGAGACAGCAAGAAGTTAACAGATAAATCCACATTCTTCTGATTGATATATTGGGAGAGACAAGCTAACATGGTTGATTGGATGAACAGGAAGAATCAGCAATTTAGGGAGAAATAAATGACTGTTCAGTATCAATGTTAAAGTTTTTAAAATTCAGATGCATTCACTTTGCAAACAACTGGATAAATAAATTTACAGTTAGATAATGCCTCAAGCTTCTGATAGAATACTTAAACATGATTAATAATCAGATAACTTCTAGCTGAATCCAGAAAGATAAAATCACAGGAAAACTGCGTAGAAAACAAGGGCAGTGACTAAGGTAGTACCACCGACATAATCTGGAGAAAGAGAAGGCAGAATGACCCCGTAAAGGTGCTAAACATGATACCAAACACAGAAAGAGGAACTATCAAGGAAACCAAAGAATTGAACATAAAAATAATAAGGAACAGAA